AGCAGAGCGGGTTTATTTGTGTGTTCTAAATTTCCTCAGTTTTTATCTCAGGGTTCTGGCATGATGAAACTAGGGTTCTGCAAAGTTGCTTGATGGAAAAAGTGAGAGTGAGAGCAAATAAAGTGTCCAAGGATGTGGATGGCGATTACTCACAAAGCCTCTCTGAACACTGCCAAACACTTCAGGTTGTTTTTTTCCCAGTGAGTCATTTGGTAACAGAGCTTCCTCCATCCCAGCGGTGGTCATGGGAAGAGGCTCCGAGCGGGGCTGTTAGTCAGAAGAAAGACATTGATCTCCGGGCAACAATCGACACCTTGTAAAATGCTTGTGCACTGCAAATCTGCTAAAACTGGAAACTACAGACCTTTCCAAATCTGTAAAACTGCAACCATCTCTGTTTTGTATTAGGGATTTGAAGACTTTTGTTTTCGCTCATGTTATGCAATGGTACAGGATGCATGTTAAATGCAGCTATAAAATTTCTGTGTTGGTGAAAATAGAAACCGCTGAATTATTGTGTCTCTTATTGCTGTTGAACCTAAACCGATACACCTCTGATTTTCTACCATCATTTTTTATTGTAGATATTCTTTTAGTGGTTTTGTTTTTGTTTCTCTAATATATGGAGTCCAGCTATGGTGCAGGTTGCTGTGGTCTCGGCACTTCATCGTGCTCTGAGTGACTATAACACTGGTGATAAATGAAGTGCAGCCAAAGAAACTGTAAACCCATGTTTTTCTGCTGACTTTTTCTAATTGCTGAACTTTCTCCTCTTTCACATCATCTATTACCAAATTATTAGAGTCTAATCTGAAAGTGGTGGAGAGCAGGGGACAGTGGGGGCTGGAGAGAAGGAGTGGGAGACACCACTGCTACCTTTGCAGCGTGCATAAATCACCAGGCTAATAAATTGAAAGCTAAATGACTTCTTGCCCTCAACATATATCATGGACGCAAACCAAATGAAGCCTTATATACCCTGGAGGACAGAGGAATGCTTCTGTTCATAACAGTGATTTGTGGATAGCTCCCATGGCTGCTGGCTTCAGAGAGTCACACTCTGTGGACTCTGAGCATGCCCACTTATAACAGCAGGGATACTTGTTGAGATTTTTTTTTGTTGAGTTAAAAATAGGAACAATCCAAACTGCTTGCAGGTCAGAACAAGATGCAGGCATTGGAGTATAAAGGTGCATTACTGCGCATGCTTTATTTGTCTTCCTGAGAGAGTTTCAGAATGTTGATGAGTTATTATTATTCCCTAAACGGAAATAAGACATAATTAACACATAATTTAGGATATTATTTTTATTTATTTATTACAAGAGTGCTGTTAGGTAACGACATGTCAGAGCTACGTAGAATGAGCAACTTGGTCAATGCAACAGTGCCACCCACTGGACTGGACTGGAAGTGTCGGTTCTGTAACGATGGAGGTTTCAACGAATAGATAAATAAAGTTTTCCTTGTCAGTCAACATTACATAATATTCACAACAGTAGAAAACTATGAATGCTAGCAAAGAGAAAAGCTAAAATGCATTTAAAATGTGATTTTTTGTCCAATACAGCACATATCCCAGAGGACTCCAACGTTTAAGGAGCTAGATAAATCATCTGTATCTGTCAGTACAAGGAAGATTTAGTGTTGACAAGCGCAGAAATGCTCTCTTGATCTTGTTCTGCTCGGCTTTATCGGCTTTTAACTGTGAAGGAATGAAATATAAGGTAGTGCATTTTCTCCTTAATGAATGTGAAGGCAGCATAAATGGTCACACACCATAAGATCTGAGGGCAGGTAGAGGATACTCAACTGTAATAATGACTCAGTTAATTCATCATCCAAATGTACATGGAAAAAAAAATTAATAGGCCAAAGGTTTCCTTGGCAGATAGTTGGGAAAAGAGAAAAAGCAACAAGCAATGAAGAATTTTTTATCTCCCTGGTCAGAAATAATATTATGCCAACGTCTCCTTAATCCCACGCAGATCAGCGGAGCAGACTGAGATGAGCTTTGCTTGTGGGATCTCATGCTCATCACTGCAATGATGAACAGGGTTAAAATCTGCAGTGGGCTTTGGCTCTAGTGAAATGAGAGGAAATATATGAATGTGTGCTGTACAAACATAACCTGAACGTAGCAGAACAAGCCTCCCCTGTGCTTAGATTGATGATGAGAGCTTAAAGTTTTAAGGGGTGCAGTTGGTACAAGTGTGGGAACATTTTCAGTGTCTCATTTTGTTCTCAACTACAACTCCAAGGAGCTTAACACCGTCTTCCTTGACACAGTTGAAAATGTTCTGACTTATGAGCAGGACTTTGCACAGAGTTTTGGCCGGGGTGTCAGTGACAAAGACTTCTTGATGTGCTGATATCTAATGAGAAGCACTTAGTAGCTCCTGTGGGCTCTGAGTTTTGAGTGAAACAAAGCAGAAGACGGTGTGAATGATCGGGGCAAATTACTGGAACAAAGTCTCATTTTATGGATCATAAACTGTAGTTTTATTGTCGGCCTGCAGTTAATTCATAGGAGAAGTATGAGCTAGTTTGCAAACATAAGAAAAAGACTCTGACGTGCATCGATTTGAATGCTATAAACTGTTATCTGCACTGTCACACTGCTGCTATAAAAGACTCCCAAAACAAAAGTGGTCACATCGTGTTAGCTTCAAAGTTTAACGCCTCAGCGCACCTAAAAAACAGGGACTCGAAAACACACTGTCCATTTTCAAACTGGAACACTTTAATTGTTGAATCACTTCACTGTGATAGAATCAGCACAGACTTTACAACATGTCCTGTTGAGACACCAAATCTGAAGCACATCCTTCACCATTAAATGACTAAAAAATGTCTATAAAAAGCATTTGTTATCCAATATATATATATGTGTGTATATAATAAAGACTAAACCACTATATTATTTCACAGTTTTGCATATTTTTAGCCCTGTTTAAGTTCTGTAGGGCTCATTTGTAATTGGTACACTCTGAATGCATCTACTTCCTATATTAATTGGATGAGTCATTCTGTGTCCTGAACACATCACATTAGTCAATAACTAGTATGTTTATGGATATTTAATTACAAATGTTTCATTATAGCTCACATTATTGCTTTTTTAAAAGGATCGAATGCTTGAACCCAAGGATCGTGGAGATAATCTCACAGAGAAATCATTTCTCTGGACCTACCAGTGGTTATTATGACTAAAACAGGGAACCTTTTGTCCCATTTCCTAATGAAGGATGAAGTGTGCACAGAGCAGCGCTTTAAAAATAGCTGTGGGGATCCAATATTCTGGTCTTCTCAAAATAAGCATGTCAAATTTAAAATGTGTTACTAAACCTTTAGCTCTATCTGGGGCCGTTCTTGTCTCTGGGGATAATTTGAGTGTTTTTCTATGAAGAATTTGACTGTTTTGATTTCCTCACTGTCCCACTGTCTTGGTGATTTGACCTGAATGAATGTTTTTTTTCTTTTTTTAGAAGAAACAACAAAGTTTGATTAATCTTAAAGAAAAAGCTTCTTTTCTATGAAGTGGTAGCACTACTGAAAATGGGGGATAAGGCTTGTGTGGCGTTACTATGAAAAATAATCTGATGCATACAAAAGTAGGCTGTGTGGTTTCACTTTTCACCATCAGAGGTGCCGTAATTCTTTGTGCCACAGATTCAATAAGCTGCTGGAAACATTCCTCAGAGATTTGGGTCCATATTGACATGATAGCATTACACAGTTACTGCAGATCTGTCAGCTGCACAACCGTGATGGTGATTGTGGAGTCTAGTTGAAAACAGTGAGCTCATGGTTGTGTTGAAGAAGCCAGTTTGAGATGATCTTTGCTTTGAGATGTGGCAAGATATGGTTATCCATCTGGAAGCAGCCATCAAAAGATGAGAACATTGTGGTCATAAAAGGATGGTGCTTTGTTATTTGACCTCATCAAAAACTCAGACTTATGAGACCAGGCAACATTTTTCCAGTCTTCTATTGTTCAGTTTTAGTGACCCCTTGTGTAGCCATAGTTTCTTGTTTTTAGCTGACAGCGTCTTCTACGGTAGCCCATCTGCTTCTATGTTGTGCTTTCATAGATGCTAACTACCATGCTACATTAAAAGTCTCTTAAATCATCTTTCTTCCCCATTCTGGTGCTCAGTTTGAACTTCAGCAGGTCATCTTGACCATGTCTACATGTTGAAATGCATTAAGTTGCTGCCTTGTGATTGTCTGCAATAGATATTTGTGTCTTTTGTTCCTAATGTTACCTGTAACATTTGTCCTGCTAAATTAATATTATGCAGGTTTATCAGTCCTTAGAAAAAGCATTGTTGCATCTTATATAATCACCTCAGTACTTCACTCTGCTGCCTGATACCACTTTCCTGTCTTGATTTACTTTTCCCGCACTGTAATCAGTGAGCAAAAGGAAAGTCAATTCAGCGTTCTCTGCTCTCTGTTTAACTGAGAACTGGCACATAATGCTTTCGACTGAAACTAGCTTAAACAAACAGGTAAAAGCAAACAGCAAGAGAAGATCAATGGAAAACACTGACACACAAGATGTGTTGTTTGACTTCATTAAAACTGGAAAAACAGGAGACACATATAAGCTTTGAAGTATTCAAATATTGTTAAAATATCTATCTTTATCTGTCTGTCTATTTTCATCACTGGGATGCACAAAGACCTTACTGTTATGATGCAATCATCGGAGTTCTGTACCTGTATATTAAAACAAAAGATGATCACAATAGATTTATATTTTTTATATTTATTCACATCTTATTCTTCTTTCTTTTTTTCTTTTTCTTTTTACATACAACGTGGTATCAAAGACTGAAGGCAGAGTGTACTGTACATGGCACCACTCTCCATTTGACAAAAAAACCCAACATTACAGTATGAATCATGAACACACTGCAATTACAATGTATACATTATAAAAGTACTGTTTTTGTGCATGTCTAAAATATTACATTACATTAGAAAAATAGCACTAATATTTAAGAAAACAACAGTTTAAGTTACATTATAGTAGCTCCTTAACAGTTTATTTACTGCCATCAGGGTACTTTGACTTTGGTCGTGCGTTTTTACTTTCAGCACGCAGACCTAACACTTCATTCACGGACTCAGAAATGCAACCCTAGATTTCTTTCTTTTCTTTTTTTTGCAACAGTGTTCACATTTATCGGTTTCATGCAGCTACTTTACATTATATTACAGAAAAGCCTTAAACGTTTTTTAAACTCCACTGATACAAACACTTAGAGGAGCCTTGCTGTGGATCCTGTTTCAGAGAACTCACCAATTATTGGTTACAATAACTATGCAAAAACTGTTGGTGGAAGCGTCTTGAAAGGTGTAGAAACAGCACATGTATTGGGAATGTATTTTTAATAAAACAAATTTGTGTAAAATTACCTTTCGACTGAAAGGCAATGGAATAAAAAGACAAACAAATAAAGCAGAAGGAGTCCTGAGGCACTCTGCTGGTTAGAATTTTGGAAACATTTATAGAAAAGTTATAGAAAGATGACATAGTTGGAGGAAAAAACAAAAAACCCTTTTTGCATATCAACGATAGAGGATGGATTTGTGTAACTGTAATATTATTTTTTGTAAATAATTTTAACCAACAGAGTGCCTCTGGACTCATTCTGCTTTTATTTAGTTGTTTTAACTGACTCATGAGCAGCTTTTATCTTTTATCTGACAAATAATTACACATCAGGAGCATTGTTAATACCCAGGACACCTGATGGTAGTTGGCTAACCTCATGGAGATTTGACAGAAGGAAAATTAACTTTAACGACATGTAGCATTTCACTGTAACAGACATCACACTTTAATTTTCTCATATTTTTCTCAACAGTGTGTTAGCTGTTCTAATATATAATGTAGCTGTGTGAGTTCTAATGCTCTGTGCAGAAAATGAACATCGAGACAAAGTAAGCAAAGCCACAAGACAACCAGAAAAGATATGTAACATGACCATTCGAACCTCACCACCTTGTAACAAAAGATGTTTTGATTGCTGGAAGAGGAGGTTTAGGCTTTTGGGTAAGCAGAGGCTCGAAAGACATCGAGGCAGTTCACTGTGACGAGCACACCGGTCAGGTGCCTCCAATGTCTCGTGGCAGGGTTTTTCATTTTGTCCAGGGCCAGGTGCAGATCCTGGATTAGGTCCTTGTAGCTATCTCCATAGCGAAGACTCCAGGAGTACAGAAAGTCATAGGCAGGCTTCCACATTGACTGAAACAGAACACATCGTTATTCTTTTTTTAATTGTCAGATGTGAAACTTCGAATAACTTTCCTAAAACAAAACATTTAACTGACCTGGGGACCGACTTCACCGTTCTTCCCTCGATGTGGTGCTTCATGCGTAGCTATTTGTGTGCTTGAGAACTTTCCCATTTTCTCAGCGAGCTCCCGCCATCGAATTCCCAGTTCCACGGCGGTGGACAGAATGACAGTGTTCTGTATGACCTGGGCAACAAGACTCACTGAATCCATCCTCAGCAGGCCCTTGACAACCATATTAAAAATACAAATTAGCTATAATGAAAGCAATTAGAGAGTACAGTGTGAGGCAAAGCAGAGGGGATTTTAAAGGAATAGTTCATCCCAAAGCTGTCAGGTAAAGGAAGCCTGCAGCGACCTAATGTTGCTCAGGTGAGTGGAGGGGGATGTAGTTCCAGGTCGGGTAGATCCATGCTTACTTTTTCACAGTGTGAAGTCTGTAGTCTTTAGACAGAAAATAGTTCCAACATCAAATGAGGTTTGTGGATTTTTTTTGTAATTAGGTCACATTTTTCTGGAAATGGGACTTAAATGCAAATTTCTGGTGTATTTTTTTGCCTGCTAGTTCATGACGTTAAAGAGAAGAAAAGTCTTTATAGCTAGTAACTCAAAGATTAGTCAACATACAAAGACAAAAAAAGAAACATATATTGATAAACTGTATTATAGACCAGAGGAAAAACACGAACACTCAGCATTGATCTAAGATAAGGCAGCATGAGTATTAGGCAGCCACTATAGCTGCTAACCTGACACTGGGGAACGTGACATCGGGATGAACCTAGCATGTTGCAAGCATAATGAAAATGGACCAAAAACAAGGCCACTATTTACTTCCTGTACTTACAACGATGAGTTCATGCAGAAACTTCCTGCCCCTCACAGTGTGGCAGTCTTCCTTCAGCTTCTCCAGAATGCACGCCACTTTATCGGGCTCAGTTTCAGCATGCCTCCGTATGAGTGCGTCCTGAGGCAGCTTGGTATACCCTAAAGCATCTGCAAAACATCTCCAGCTGGTAATGTGCTCGGAGACCAGTGTCTGGATGGCAGAGTACATGTAAGTAAGTTTCTTAAAGGGCTTCGTCATGTTCTCCAGAAGGACTTCTGTGGTCACTTCAATGTCATAGAAGTCCATCACCTGGTCCCTAGTTATGAGTTTGATGTTTTTGCAGTGAATCAAACCAGTCTTCCCTCGGAGGAATCCGATATACCACTCTTTGACTTTTGAGTTTCCCACAGACTTAACTGGATTTCTGGAAAGGAGAGCCACTGTGTCACCCTTGAAGTACTCCAGGAGATATTCTACACGTGGCTGACGAAAGACAGACTTTAGGGCCACACCGTAGCACTGCAAGTTCACAGGCCTGTCTGTGAATTCTGGTAAATTTGAATGACATTCCTCAGTGATGGGAATAGGTTTTATCATTTTGACCAGCCTTTCTATCTGTCTGGTCGCTCGCTTTTCTGATCTGATGGGTGCAGCAGGAGGGGAAGGCACCTGAAAATCTGCAATAGCTGAACTGTTTGATTCCTTCACTTGTAAATCTAGTTTAAAAGGGGTCATGTCTGCATTACCAGAACTAGATAATGCAATGGGCAGATGCAAAATTGTCCCTATTTTCAGCTGACTTTCTCTCACTTCTTTCAGTTTGTCTTCAGCTTTGATTTTAAACATCGAGTCAGTAATGCCGACTTCAACATGAAGGTTGCTGAGCTTGTCTGGTTTAAAGTGATGTTTTCCCCAAAGTTGCAGCACAACAGGAGGCAGGTATTTGTTGCCTCTGCAGATATCAGAAAACGGGAGCTTTGGTGGAACGTCCTCATGGCAACAGACAACTATCACGATCTTAAATGATGGGTGGATGTATCTGGGACCATAAACTGCGACAGTGATTTTGCGGTCAAGGTAATCCCAGACTGATGTAGCAGGGGACTGCAGTGCAGAGGCCTCTGCAACTGCAATCACAAAAAAGTGTGTCTTCAGATCCTGGAGCTTCAACTGCATCGTATTCTTGTGAACGTAACAGTCATTCAATCTGTTGTAAGGGCCTGTTCTTTTGTTGGACACCAGCCCGTATAAAGTGGTCATCACCTGACTTGAATCATCACTCTTCACCTCTCCTGACAGTTTCATCTCCAGGGACAAAGTTTCCTTTGTGTTGATGTTGCTGAGAACCACCTCAACGAGGGGACTCATGGTTGTCATGTAGTTGTTGTTGAGTCCAGGGGGAGGATTTAGCACTGCTTTGAGTGTAACTTCCTGGACTTCTCCAGGAGGAACATGTCCTTCTGGTATATGGATGGTAATTCCTGACTCCGGTAACTGTACTGAGCCACCAGCGTGGCCAATCTTGCAGATAACTTGAAAGTTAGTGGCCTGGGTCTGAGCCCATCCACGGCTCTGACTAATCACATTCAGGTCCAGGCATGAGCGTGTTAGCTGCCTATGGCTCAGCCAAGCCATTTTATAGGCCTCTCTGTCATTCTTTAGCCACTCAAAATCTGGACTCAGCACCGGCACGGGAGGTGCGAAGGTGTTCTCCTGTCTCAGCACCTTTCTTTCTATATCATCCATGATGTGTGAAGTACTCCTCCATCTCCCAGACTTGTTGCTGATGTTCTGTCTGCTCTCCAGAAAGTTGCTCACGTTGCCTTCATCGGAAGAAGTGCTGATGGCATCGTCGTTACTTGTGTACTGATGCCCTTTATGGTCTTCGTGTAAATCTGATGAATCAAAACTATGCTTGTCTGTGCCGATGTGTACAATATCTTCTAAGAAAGGGTTTGACGCAGATATCTTGTTCCAAAAAGGATTTTTAGTCGGAGATGAAAGTGTCCAGTTAGAGTTTTGTGTCTGTCCTGACACGAGCCCACCTGTGAAAATCGAGATGGGGGTTAACATTATTACCACATGTTCAAATTCAAAGCACAGGTCACTTAAGCTTGAAACTGAGCTTTTTACCATTCAAGTTATTGCTGGGTGGGGCGCTGTCAGTCAGATCAATCAGGGTGCCCTCGGATTTACTCCGCATGAGACTCCCAACACGACGGAAGGACCTGGTTCTTCCAGCTGCCATATTTTCATCTGTAAACATAAACATGGATTCATTATTTTGGGGCGTAATTACATTACTCCTCAAACAATATAATAGGAATCCCAGTGCAAATCAGCTGCTCATCAGAAAATGAACAGCAATCAGATGACAATTAAGCCACTACTAAAGCGAAATATTTATAAACATTTGAATATTTGCTTTTTTTGCTTCCAAACAAAACAAGATATAATCTGGAACTAAGGATATAATAATCAAGCTATACAATTTAATTATGAAGATAATAACTAAGAAATACCTTGGTATTAAAGGATGCTTTTAGCTGGGTGATATTAGACTGAAATGTAAATAACAGCTTAATAACAAAAGCAAATGTTTGCTGTAAGGCAAAGACAGTTAAAAAGAGTATGGTACTGTTAAAAAAATATAACCTCTGTGCAAGAAAATTAT